TAACTACTATACAAATAACTAAAAAACAAGTACAAACGGTGGAGTACACTTTCCCTTGGATTTACCTAGCTACCAAGGGGAAAAGATCTTGCCACAAACTAATAACACAATCCATAAAGAAGATGCTCTCTCATGTTCATAATAAGTGTCGTTTTGAGAAGTTGCACAATTATTAAGAATATTTTTGTTGTCAATAATAATCCTCATTAATAAGGATTGAGATGAATGTTTTGATAAAAGATGAAGGAGGAATATGAAAAGACGTAGTGTATTTATTAGCTAGATTAGGGTAATAATGGAAAAATATGTACAAAATATCCAAAACGATATTTATTTTATTAATAGTTGATAATGCCAAAATGACATTTAAAAAGAATAGGAGATAGTACAAAACTTTAAAAAAGAAACATAAAAACAGACACGGTTACCGGTTGGGACTTACAAATTACACAAAGAAACACTAAAACACACACCTACAAAAAACACCAATTACAAATTAGAGTAAGTACGTCCTTTACTTCTAGTGAGCATGCGAAAATTGCCACACAGCCCAACATATAGATCAGACCCCATAATTAAAAAGAAAAAGAAAACTACTGATCTATGAGCCTATGAGCCTGCATAATGTTTTGAGTTCATTCAAAAAATATACAGGCCACACGTAGCCCAACAGGTTTTCAGCTATTAGATGAGCCACCGGGAGAAGCTCGACAATTGCTACATCATGATATCTTCGGGGTCGCATACCCACGAAATGTTCTAATATCTAGCATCTAGGCCTTAGCCTCTCTTCTTTGTACCAATATATATATATACAGGCCACGTAGGAAATAGATACAGTCTAGAAAAATATACACTCAAATGCAAGTGCAAGTAGACTTAATACTGTTGATGTTGCAGCCAGAAAAAAAGACCCGATCTACCCTTAAATCTATTTTAGACTCAAGTAGACACCTAATTTCTTTGCATTAGAGTTAATTTAGCTACTTTTATATATTTATGTCCATGTCATCCAAAACTTAGGTTTATTTACATGTAACGTAAAAAAAAAATAGACCTAAAGCATTACAGATGCTCTACGACTTCTAGATCTGAAAAATTGGACCAAACTTGAACGACTATCTAGATCTGCCGAGGAGACAAAATCCGGGCCCAAATCTAAACCCCTAAGAAGCTTCAAGCCTGGAGAGAGACTGGAAATCGAGGAAGTCATCCCGACTTACCTCAGCGAAGGTGCGGCCGTCATTTTCTTCCTCCTTTTTTCTGAACATTCTGAATCATTAATCACCAAACACCATTACTCTAAAAATCTGACTTCAGCATCGAAAACTCTACGCGGGGGACATCTTTAACGCTGTTTTGCAAGTAAGTGTAGTAGTCTGAAGGATGGTTCAGTCAACATTGGATAGAAGGATGACAACGGTATATGTTTCGTTTATAGCTAGTATATATTCAGTATATGTTGCGCATATTACTTACATAACATTTTTATGCAAGTAACCTTGCGCATTTTACTGATATTTGAATTTTGGTTCAATATATAACCTAATGCAATTTTTATCTACATTACATTTTTATATTCCTAATGTCAGTTTATTCTTGTTTTAAATCAGTTTTTGAACATTTTTTGATATATGTTGCGTTTACGCATTGTTTATTTACTTTTATATTCTGTAAACAGTTTTACTAAAAAATACACCATACATATATACAACAAATCAATAAAAAAAACATATAAGTATATATATATATAATTTATAAACACATTATAACAAGTTACTTATTGCAAAAAAGTCAAAATAAATGCATACTATAAAACAATGTGTTGATGCTAAAAAATGTGAGCAACATAGTTCGAACTGCGTACTCAAAGATACACTCAGTTCGGTCTGCACGACACAGGAAATCAAGTGATATCCGATTCTAGAATGAACCGAATGGAAGCGCTGTTCGTGACTTGTAGAGTATTTAATGAGAGCATATATGAATTGAACTCAACAAGAACAAAGACCGAAGATGATATCCCTTGTTTATTCATATTTTGGAAAAAAAGACCTCTCTCTTTCTCTCTCCGAGATTGTCCCTTTATATGGGATAAGATCCTCTTGGATAAGGTGAGATCCTGTAAGATTCTCTGTTTTGGATAAGATTTATCAGATACATGTACATATCACAATATATGGACATCAATTAATGTAGAATAAAATAATACAAATGATATTTTAATGTGTTGTATTTTTATTAATCGTAGTCAAATTGGGTATCACCACAATGAAATATTCATATTAATATGGATAAACGCTGAAAAACATCATGATCAATAAATTATAAATAAAACATTGGAACAAATCATATCGTGTATATCCGTAAAATATTCTAATATACAAAACATAAAATGTCTATAAACTAAAAATATATTGTCTATATACTTAGCATATACTGTTCATTCGAAAGTTTCGATATATGCTCGCTACAATATTCTCCTACTATTCTTGCAAATTCCTCTAATAGGTTTGGTTAATTTATTGGGCCGCTAGCGGGCCTACTTTTCCTATTACCAATTGAGGAATTTACACTTCTTACTTCAAGCTATGATTTTTATTACATTTATATATTCCGTATATTCTTATTTATAAAATTACCTAAACAAGCTAAAATTATTTCAATTATACCTGACATATAAGATGTAACTGTTATTACCTTTTTTCTGCCTTATTAAATGCTAATGAAATCCTTAATTGAAATTAAATATGTACTTTATCTCTCTCCCTCCCCCCTCT